CCCCAAAGTCCCCCCAAAATCCCCCAAAATTCCCCCAAAATTCCTCAAATTCCCCCAAAATCACCCCAAAATTCCCCAAAATCCCCCCAAATTCCCCTAAAATCTCACAAAATCCCACAAAATCCCCCTAAAAATTCCCAAAAATTCCCCAAAATCCCCTAAAATTCCCCCCAAAATCCCCCAAAATTCCCAAAAAATTCCCCAAAATTCCCAAAAAATTCCCAAAATCCCCAAAATCCCCCCAAATCCCCCCAAAATCCGGCGCTGACCCTTTTTCCCGTCGCTCTCCGTCAGAACCTTCCGGGCCAGGACCCCCCTGAGGGCGGGGCCGGGACCCCCCGGCAGCTCCGCCGGAATTCCGGGATTTGGGAATTCCGGGGAGTTTTGGGGCTCGGCTTCGTCCTCATCGTCCCTGCAGGGGCAAAAATCCCAAAATTCCCCTGGAATTCCAAGAAATCCCAGCCAAAATCCCATCAAAATCCCAAAATTCCCCTGGAATTCCAAGAAATCCCAACCCAAATCCCAGAAAATCCCCAAATTCCCCTGGAATTCCAAGAAATCCCAGCCAAAATCCCAGAAAATCCCAAAATTTCCGTGGAATTCCCATGAAATCCCAGCCAAAATCCCAGAAAAGCCAAAATCCCAGAAAACCTGACCCAAATCCCATCAAAATCCCAGAAAATCCCAAAATTCCCCTGGAATTCCAAGAAATCTCAGCCAAAATCCCAGAAAATCCCAAAATTCCCCTGGAATTCCAAGAAATCCCAGAAAACCTGACCCAAATCCCATCAAAATCCCATCAAAATCCCAAAATTCCCATGGAATTCCAAGAAATCCCAACCAAAATCCCAGAAATTTGGGGGAAATCTCCAGAAAATCAGAGAAAAATCCCAGAATTCCACCCAAAATCTCCCCAAATTCCCCCAAAATTCCCCAAAATTCCCCAAAATTCCCCAAAATTCCCAAAAATCCCCCAAATTTCCCCCAAAATTCCCCCCCAAAATTCCCCAAAATTTCCCCAAAATCCCATCAAAATCTTCCCAAATTCCCCCCAAAATTCCCCCAAAATTCCCCCAAATCCCCAAAATTCCCAAAATTCCCCAAAATTCCCCAAAAATCTTCCCCCAAAATTCCCCCAAAATTCCCCCAAAATCCCCAAAATTCCCCCAAAATTCCCCCATAATCCCCCTAAAATTTCCCCAAAATCCCCCAATTTTTTCCCTAAATTCCCCCAAATTCCACCCAAAATTCCCAAAATCCCCCAAAATTCCCCGAATTTTCCCAAAATTCCCCCAAAATCCCCAAAATCCCCCCAAAGTCCCCCCAAAATCCCCCAAAATTCCCCCAAAATTCCTCAAATTCCCCCAAAATCACCCAAAAATTCCCCAAAATCCCCCAAAATTCCCCAATTTTTTTCCTAAATCCCCCAAAATTCCCCCAAAATCCCCCCAAAATTTCAAAAAATTCCCCAATTTTTTCCCTAAATTCCCCCAAATTCCACCCAAAATTCCACCCAAAATTCCAAAATTCTCCCAAAATCCCCCAAA